AACTGAACTCAGGCCCCAGAAATGCCACAGAGGAGGATGTAATTTTTCTAGATGGCAGCTGCAGACATGGAGATGATGGCAACAAGGTACACACCCAGCTGATCTGGCTGTCAGTCCAGGCACCTGGAGGCACAATCATGCTCAATAGTTAAAGTCACACATCCTGGGTGTGGTCCCCAGCATGGCCACATCTCCCAGTGAGAACATAGGCAGGTTGCTTGATGACAGAGATAATAAAACCACCTGTCTTGGGTGGCTGCCAGCACAATGCCTTGCATACATTTATCACTAACTTAGGTATTCTGATTATCTAATGAAGTCTATTCACAAGGAGTGGGAAAATATTTTTACTTAGTATCTTTTAATCTGAGCAAGAAATTTGATTTGAGTGGTGGGAACTGACATTAGAAGAAGATTAATTGCTCCCATCTACTGAGTGCTGACTATGTGTCACGCACTGCTCTGCTTTCATTTCAACAACCACCTTGACATCCCCATTTTACAGACGAGGAAACTGAACCCCAGAAGAGGTTAAGGGATATACCGCTGGAACACAGCTCTCTCCTGGCCGCTCTGGAATCAGATTCTCAAGGGCCATACTAAGGAGTTTGGAGGTGGAACTTGGGGTGTAGCTAGAGATTTTCTTTCCTTATTTATTTTCCTGCTCAGAACCTGAAGGGTCTTTCTATCGGAAACTAGAACAAACAAAAAACAGTTCATTGGTATTGCTGATCATTTATAAAAAACATAATTTATGTTCTAACAATAAAATGTCTTACTGCTTGCAGGAATCTATTTGACACATATAGGNAAGTTTTAAATTTTGATAAGTCCCAGTAAATAACTTTTTCTTTTATGAATTGTGCTTTTGGAATCATATCTAAGAACTCTTTCTTCTACACAAGGTCATGAAGTTTTTCTCTTGTTTTCTTCTAGGAAAAAAAAATATTTTCACATTTATAGGTTCCAGGTGGACATGAATTTTGAAGGGGCACTATTCAACCCAGGAAAGCAGGTATATAATTATAGAGGATACACCAAAACATTAACTCCTTTTTCTCTCGTTCCATAATCTGGCCTACTGGAAGGAACTGCATTTATCCAGAAGGACCTGGCCACCTTGCCTTTCACTACAAGCTAATCATTAGAGATTTACCTTTCACTATAAGCTGATCATTAGAGATTTTATAACTTATTTCCTAAATAGGTAGTTAACACAAATCAGTTTCAGAGAGAATGGTAGCTTCAACTATATTTTAAGAATTCTGTTTTTAATCTATAGTCTAAAATATGAAATATGGTGACTCCAACAAGATAATGGCAAGCGAAATAAGGTTTCAAGTGAACATAAACAAGGAAACCAGAGATGTGTATCTCTGTACACTTCCCTGATATCTGCTATGGACATATAAACATGAACCACAACCACAACTGAAGTAGCTTAAAGTAGTGTTCATATATGTATTAAACTTAATAGAATGTAAATACATCAAATTAGGGGACACTTCTGTGGGTGACTGCTAGTCTCAAACCATGTTAAAGACAATAATGAAGATTTACTAAACTACTTTGCTTCTAGACAAATAAGAATTACAAAAACACTTACAATAACATGTTCCTTTGAGAGGGTTTCCCTGGTATCGATTTTCTACCTCACATCTAGCAGGGAAAAAAATGAAGATTATTTTCTATTGCTATTTAAAAGAGAATCTACATTCATTTTTAAAATCAAGCAGATCCTTTACCATAAACTAGTTTTTGAGTCAGTATAATTACATTCTTCACTACTACTCAAATCAGGTGAACTAACAAGAGTTTGTACTCATTTTCAATGCTGACTGCCCAGCAGTTCACACAAACTGATAAACACTTGCTAAAGCACATGAGATAAATCCAAATATGATAAATCTAGATCCTGACTTGTAATTATGGAAAACACATTGTCACTTTTGTGTGGACTAAATATTCTTCTAAAAGTGCAGTGAAAACATCTTTCACATATTCATTTCTCACTTCTTTCCTATTCTCCCTGGATAAACTGACCCTGTTCTTTAAATACAAGTGAGATAAGGCTAAACACAAAGAATCTTTTTTTTGGGGGGGGGGTACCATGGACATGGTTCATCAGTCTGGAGAAAAAAAAATAAGTTCTAGTCAAAAAGAAGTATTAATTTCCCCATAGGTAGCATCTTATGAACATCAACCAAGCCATTTAGGCAGGCACAACAGCTATGAACTATGAGGAAAGAGGGGGAAAGCCTGGGTCAAGCACTTTCCCAGATAAATAACATGAGGCTATTGTGTCCTTTTATCCAGGGTGATTGTCAGCACTTGCTTATATCTACATCTCTTGAAAAGAAAGNTAAGTTAGAAAATTTAAGACTTTTAAGGGTGTTGTTTTGATAGCGTTGTTTTTTATTTTGATAGTTTTTACAGGAAAAAACCACAACAATGGAAACATTTCCAAATAACCATTTTCAAAATGTGATCTCCAAACTGGAAGTTTCTCTCACAAAGCAGTTACCTTTTCGTTTATTGATATAATCTCACCTTCTCTTGAAGGGATAGCTCAAAGTATTTACTTTTAATATTTGCTGGCAGTATACTACTAACAATTACTAACAATCCTCAGAAAGATCAATAAATTTGAAATCCTAGTACTTTTGTATAAGATAGAACGAACTCACACTGCATGGATAACTCTATTGAATATTCTGTCATAAGATAAACAGGGAACTCCAGAGAGGTCTAAAGATTTTTATGGTCACACCCCATCTTGCTAAGAAGTTTTACCAAATACTATTATGTTTATTTAACATAAACTTAACAACATCAATTACTTCCTAAAAGACTGAGCAACCTCAACCATTTGTGTCTCAATGAAGTAGTAAATAAATTTCATGTATGACTTTTGCTATAATCTTATTCTAAAACATTTTTTAAAAATTCCACTTAACACAGCCACTCAAATGATATGCCTACTCAATGTTGCCACAAAATATATTCATTTAAAGTCATTTATTATTTTTACTTTAAACGCTATTCACTCATGAAATTACATCTTCTGTAGTACTATCTCTTCTTGACTTTATCATTGAAATGGAATACAAAAAACAAATCTTACTTTCGTTTCATTTTATAGTAAACATCCCACACTGTGGACTTTATTCTACTACTGATTTATTTATTTTAATTTAGCAATGTTTGTTGACACTAATTAACAGAGGAATACACTTTGGCTGACTGTCATATTGTTTTCCATGTATTACTTGCCACACTTACTGTGACAGGAATTTTGTAATGCTAAATGGCTTTGTGTGCACTGATGAGAAATAAGCAACTTCCAAGGAGGTTCATAAATAATTTATCATCAAGTTTAGAAAAACTGCATTATGTACTGGAGTGGGTAACGAATGACTTTATATTTCATTGAAGAAACTGTGTAGGTGTGTCTTCAAGTTCTACAGGTTCACTTTTAAATGTCATGCTGCATAGGCTCCCTTCTACCACTATGTAGTACCAGATGGCAGGATGAGTTCATCATTGACAACAGTAGCTATAAACCTACATTTCAAATAGCCCTCTTAATAATTTCAATTATTTCTGGCTGACTTCTTGGTGGACTCAACTAAACCTTTGCTGTTTTTACCTCCTAATGAGGCTAACAACTTATTCTCGGAGCAGAAGTGTAATCTCTGCCACCTTCCTTGCATCAGTGGAATTAATTTCAACCTACAATTTCTTTGTAGGTGCTTTTTAAGCCTCAGAACCACTTTGAGAGAGTAAATCAGGGCTTTGCCATCTGCCCCTCTAATGGGGGAGTTCTCCTTGCAGTCTCTTCTCCTTATCTGTATGGGGATGCAATGGACTGACCAGCAAACCAAGTATGTGTGGCGTCAACATCAGTCTGTGTATCAGATCCTGGTAAATCTTAGTGACAATGTGTTCTTGCCTTTTAGATGGAAAGGAGATAAACTGCAGATTCTAACATTTCTTTCCTGTACCCCTAAACATCATCCTGTGGGCTCCACTCTGGAGACCACTGCTAAGGCAGTGCTTCTATCCATAATGACCAAGAAAAAGATCCACACAAATTCAAAACAAGGAAAGCAGACTTTTAAAGCTTACTTCATCAGGTGTAGCCACAAAATTGATGGCTGTGTAATAGCGGTCATCCTCCTGGGATAGGCTAAAGGTGAACTGATAGTCAATAAGAAGAGTATCTATGGAAAGAAAGACATATTTAAATAGTGAAATAAAACAAAACAGAATAGGTCTCCAGAGATACAGCTTGATTTTCTCATAAATATTCAATAGCCAGGAGAGTACTTTTGGCTCACTTATACTGGGGAATGGGAGTTTTTCAATGGAATCAAGTCAGTGGGCAGTATCATTTTGTTTGTGTTAACCCACCAAACCCTCCTTATATCATGACCCTGGTTGAGATTTTAAGTTCCAACCTAACTCACCTACAAATATTGACTGAACATCTATTACATGCTATGTTTTGCTTATGGATACAATGCTGGAAATGGGGAGTTGTTGGTAATTTTATCTTTAACTGCTTTTTTTTTTTNCTTTAAACTGACAGCATTTGGGGGATCTTTTCATGTGGCACTTTCTACACTCTGGCTTTTACTGGTTATACGTGTTTGTTTACTTTATACCCACCCTATTCTCTCCAGAACTGAAGCACTTTGTGTAGCTCTACAGGCTTCTATGTGGCAAATGCTCAATGGAGAAGTTGCAGTTGTAATTACCAAATCTGTTATATGCCATCTTGTTCTCAAAAGCGCTGATAATTTTCCTTTGTAAGTGATTTACACCACCCCCACTACCGTCTTCTTTATGGTATTCCTGTGCTCAACACTCCTTTGCCACAGATTAGAGAGGCAAAGCAATATTGTCCAACTCATTTACCACACATTCCAAATTAGTGAATTTAATCTCCACTAAAGAGAGTTCACCTTGTGTGCAGGGGGGACCAAAAAGCATCTTACCTGAATTTTGATGGGCCAGGTGAAATTACTGACATAAACAAAGAAAGTGATATTTGGGTGGTTGCGAAAATCAAACTTCTCATTAGAGAAGGTATCTTTGTACTCCTTAATGTTGGTTTTTGAAACAACAGGCATCTCTTCTCCAGCCTGGGTTCCAGCTGTTAAGAAAAAAAGAATGAAACAGAAGAGTCATTGGTGGGGAGGGGGGGGGTGCGTTATGTGTGCAGAATCTACCCTCATTTATAATAAGGATAATGGTTATAATTTACTAAACACTTACTATGTTCCAGGAACAGCCTTTAAGAGCTCAATCTCATTTGATCCTAACAACTCTATTATTATCCTCATTTACAGACCAAGAAGCAGGTTCAGAGAAACTAAGTAACTTGGTTTAGGTCACACAGCCAGAAAGAAGTGGAGATGGGATTTGAAGCTGGGAAGGCTGATTTGCAAGCCTGTGCCCTTAACTAGAATGGTTTTACCAGGAACCCTTGCAACTCCCCTCCACTGAAACAGGCTGCATGTGGCCATGAAAATATAGATACCGCTAGAATCCTACTAATGAGCAGCAGCATTCACTCTGCCCACAACACTTCAATTGCTCCACATTTCCCCTTTACACCTACTCGGCAGTGCTCCAGATCCCTGCTACGGGGACACTGATTTACCCTTTACTTCCTAACGAGCAGTGACCTCAAGTCTCAACAGTAACGGAGGAAGAAGCTGTAGGGGACACTCAGTCCCTTCTGCTACCAGCTACAACTGTATTTAAGTCTACCCAATCAGGTATATATCCATCCTATTCCTAAGCAGTCCTTCAATTTTCCATGTTCTCCCTCAGCTAGGAATTCTAGGGTCTATAAAGATTCATGAAATAGATTTTTCCCACATCTGAGCTAAATCCTGTGACTTAAGCCAGAGTGGCAGGTCCTCACTGAGACAGTCACTACAAATCATCATTCATATGCTCAGAGATGTTGCCTTTCTCAAGACAAATGCTCCAATAATTCACTTTTTCTTACAAGTCTCTCCTCACTGTGAGTTTCTGAACCTTTTCTGAATTCTATGCAATTTTTCAAGACAAGATAAACATAAAGTAACGTGCAAAGGTAATGATTTTATTTTGCTTCAGTCTAACTGGTTGTGTTTTGACCAAAACAGTAATGTATAGTAATAATAATGATCAAACATAGTTACTATTTAGTAAGAATTTACCATGTTTCAAGCACTACATTTCAGTACTTTGTTTATTATCTCATTTAATTCTCACAACACTCTACATGGCTAGGTGTTTTTATACATGAGGAATCTGGCTCAGAAAGCTTAAGTAATTTGCCCAGTAGCACAGTGGAGCACAGTAAGTAACAGGCAGAATTCAAATCCAGGTCTGTCGAGCTATGTTCTTAACCACTATGTAAGACCCACCCTTTACATTTTTAGATTTTTCTGCCCAGCACATCTTCTTCAGTGAACCATAGTAAGATAAAAAAAGATAGGAAAAGCTGTGCTCTTAGAGCTTGATTTAATTCCCAAGCACATTTCCCTGTACCTACTAAAATCTCATTCTGTGCCACAACCGTGGCTGCAGCAGAGCTATTATTAGTAATGGTAGTGGGGCAGGGGTCATGAGCATGTACTGCGCCTGACACCATGGCAGGCACTGGCATGTATGACCTAATTTAATCTACACAACAACTATAGGAGGTAAGTACTGTTATCCTCTCTTAATGATGAATAACCCTAAGGTGTAGATAAGGGTTTAGACATTTGCTCAGGGTCTCCCAGTTAATAAGTGGCAAAGGGGGGTTTCAAACCCATCTGTCTGTCGCCAGAGCCCCCTTTTTCAACTCCTGCATCAAGTTTCTCAACCTATTGCCTCCACTTGGAAGCTCTTCTCTAGGTATATTTTTACCTGAGAAGCTGGCGGCCCAGGTGATGTTGAGGTTGAAGTTTTTGGAGGCGTTGATGAACATGTCCAAATCCCTGTTTTGCTGATGAGAAGTACAGATAATTAGAAAATTAATTATAACAGTTTCCAGATTTTAAAATAAAGCAGTAATTAAATTTCATTACTCTCATCTTTCTCAATTATAAAGCAGATATTTTACAATGTCTTAAGAGAAACTCACAGAAGAGTTAGCAAAATTTCTAACCAATATAAGCAATATACTCCAAATAAATTTCATTTCTCTCTCATAAAAGTATATGGAACTTAATGTTTTATCGAATGCCTAACTCCATGAAAAAGTATCTTCAAAAAAGACCCTCACCAAAACACAATGACTGAACACCCTGTGACCCATGTTAGGGGACTCAATCTCCTAAGCATCCTCTGGGAACTCAAACATCTGGACAGTAAAACACGTGACTTGCAATAATCTATTTATAAATAATATATGTATTTATATATATAAACACTTATATGTATTTATAAATTCAACCTATGTNTAGCAAAGCACAGAGATCCCTTCCCTTTTTACCTTTTCAACTCACTCCTTCTTACCTTCAGGGGTTACCTCTTTTTGGCTGTCTTTCAGCCAGCCTCTGCCCTAAAGGCTGGGTTGGGTGCTCTTTCTTGTTTATCCATATAAGCCTGGGCTCGCAGTCTAGACTTACAACTGTGCAATGTTAGTTGTCTCTCATCTGTCAGTTTTATCACAGGACTGTGAATTCCTGTTATATAAAGGTAGTCCCAGCAGATTAGACTACCCAGAACCTTCTAGAGCTAGAAAACCTGAGGAAGGGAGAAGACGGACCAGAAGATATGATATCTGTGGCCAGCTGGGCTAGCTGAACCCTTCTAACTAGCTATTCTTTCAGACACATGGAACTGGGAGTCACTAGTAATGAACAAAGATGTAAGCCAATAAATTATTTAAGGGAGTGACTACCAGTAAGATCAGCCGACAGCCAAGGACAAAACACTGGGAGAGGCCCATATATGGAGGTGAGGCGAAAAGAAACAAACAACACGGACAGTCTCCAATGGAGATGATGAAATCTGTAAAAGTTTTCAAAATATAAAATGTAAAATGTGGCCATAATGTCTCCTGAGGTAACCACATTTATAATGTATTACCAACGTATTACCAAAAAGACTAAGTGGAGAAAAGTAAAACATACGGCACCTCCTACCAGTTGCAGAATGGCCCTCTAGGTGGCACAGAGACCACACGTAGCCAGAACCCAGACCACACTCCATGTCCTCACTTGAAGAAGGCTGCACCCAAGGCGGTGTTGCCCATTGCTCCTCCTGCTTGACTAGAAGAACATTCCCCTCCACTGCTCTGTACCAAAGCCAGCGTTGCTGAAAGAGCTTTGTCCTGTGAGTGTCTACTTAACTGAGGGTAGGACCACAGTGTAGAACTATGGACTCAAAAAGACCAAATGTGATTGTGGAATGTCAACTACAAGCCGCCTGAAAGCACTGGGTGGACAGGAGAACTTGGAGCCTATCTGTGCTCAAAAACTCTTGATAAGAACGTACCCTCTCCTTTTGGGCTGGCTAGGGCTAAAAAGGACCCAAACGGGTGTACGTTCCTTAGGGTGATGAACATTTAATCATAATACTCACTAATGATACTGGAAATCTGAGCAACTCAGGTGGTTTACTTCAACCTAGCTTATTAGTAGCAACATCCCTCCCCGCACACCCCACCCCCAGGCCCATAGCAGGACTTAGGGACAAAACAGATATGAAATCATCTATCTACTGATGTCACAAGGATATGCGCATATGTATACATGTTACTATTTAATACACATGTGATTATGCAACTAAATTTAATAGATATGACTAATAAAAATAAGTGTTAAAAATGTTAAGGTACGAAAGAAGGTATGAAAGAGAATCTGACAGTGCAGTTCCATGGCCTATTATTGTACATACATGCCTCTTCCTGCCACGCACATCACAGGTAAGCTATATTCATGCCCTCAATAGAAAGGTGCATACCAGAAGCTTCAGTTCCGAGGATTTTAACTCACCATGCTCTGCGATGACTGCATTATTCGCAGTTGCTTAAGGACAAATTCTACCTTCTTCTGGGATGTAAGAGAAGCCAAAAAGGCATTGTGGTTCCTGCAGGACAATTTCGCGTTGTCATAATTCTCCTTTGCAGTAGTAATTTTCAAACACGAGTTTACAACCAAATGCCAGCCGATGCCACAGATATTTTCTTTTGTGGAGNATTTTCAGCTGTTAAAAAACAGAAGTTGCAATTCACTATCACATGTAGATCTGAATTCACTGTATCTAAATTACCTTTTTCTTTAACAGACTATTCAACTTCCGTGAGTCAAAATTCGTATTTTATTATGACTGTAAATGGCATAATAAATTTGAAGAGCCCAATATCTTACCCAACATGTAACAGGGGCTCCTCACCTCCTCTCTCAATCCCAGACTGTTGGAGGCAAAAGTGACCTTGGAGATCACCTATGCGAAAGTACTTTCTTTATGAATTAGAAGATTAAGATGTGGCAACCGTACATAGGTTGAGCAATGTGATACTGAAGTTGGGCAAGTTATTTCTGTACTCTGGAATCTATCCTACGTGTATTTACTTGTGTTATTATGCTTCATTCTGTATGAAGGTCCTCATCAGGCAGTCTCTGGACAGACCAGAGCACAAGGTCAAGTCCAGTCTTGTGCCTAAAATTTTCAGAGGTCAACAGTGCTGCGTCACAGCCGGAGTTGTCACTCATACACAGGGCACTCGTGAGTGCCTAGCTTTTTCACTTTTCACTTACGGGGGCAGCTGCTCATGGTATACCACTCCATACACTGGCCAAAGGGGAAAGAGGCAACGTAGGCATTGGAGTCCACGCACTGCTTCATGTTGCTGCACCACATGCACTCGGAGCTGCCACTCGTGCACTCTCCACATGCTGTCCGCAAGGCACACGGCATCCGGCACTGCTTGGCGCTGTGGTTCGCTGGGAAGTAACCAAGAGAGACACTTAGAATTCCCACCATGTCAGCCAAGGTCAAAGGCTTTTCAGTGTGGACTGTGACCCGCTAGTGTGCCACAAAATCAATTCAGTGGGCTACACTAAATGAAGGACAAAATAGGAAACATTAGAGTCACCACGTACTGTTTAGTCAAGTATATTTATCCACTTGGGGGAAAAAAAACTGTTGTTCTTTTCAAAGAGCATTAAGGACAGACATGAGGGAACTAGCTATCCTTCCCACACAAGTAGGGGTTCTAAAGATCCTCACCATATAGGGGACCCAGGATGAACTTGAGGTGTTTTACAACCTACCTGAACACGCAAAATCCTATCTTTGTATATTTGCGGGAGAGAAGGACCACAGCCTTCATTGAATACACCAAAGCATTCAGGACCCAAAATGGCAGAAAGGTTCCCATACAGGGAGTTTAGAAATCATATTTTATGGCGAGTCCTGCAGTGCTAAGACTTCTCTTCTATGCCTCTAATTCCTCAAATTACAGCAACTTCCTAAAAGGAGGCATGATGGCAGTGGAGTCCAGCCTCCCAAAAGTGCTCACAAAATCCCACCTATTGTTTATGAGTCCCTCTGCAGGAGGAGGACGCTCGTCTTGGGCTTGTCTGCGTGCTGCAGGTACTGCCCTGCACCTGCCTTTAAGACGCCTAAATGTAGCCCAGAAGAGAGATTCAAACCCGTGAAGCTACTCAAAGTGTTCGTTCCTTAGAAATCCCCCACAGCTTTAGCGTATCAGGTTGCTTGTTTGTGATGAGAGCTGCTCTCATCATTTCTCTCCCCAATGTCTTTTTGTTCACTGTCCCTTTTGTCCCACACTGTCTGTTCC